CCAAAATAATAGAGTAAAAATTTGGTGAAATATCATTTCTTTGGTCTAATTAAATAATATCATGCTGATGAAAAGAAGTTTAATGTCAAAATTTCGCTGCTGAACTGACGAATGTTCGTATACTAAATTTATTTTGTTAACTTAATACAATTTTCTATAATGAGAAATTTTGGTGTTGAACATACAAAATGGCTTCATAACCTTTTTAACTATTTTTTTTTTTAAGATACTAGAGGCAGATTTGGTGAAGAAAAGATAATCACAACTTTTTAGAGGAGGGAGAGCGATAAATTACTAGGTTGAAGAATCAAAAGAAATCAAAGGTCTTATTATTCTTTGTCACGTATTTGATTTTTGACAATAAGTTCCGTGTATGGTTATTGAAGTAATGAAGTCAATTTTCCTTAAAAGAAACGTACAAATGTTTGACAGGACAGCTATTTTATACTTATCGAGTAACTATTTGAGTATTTTTTAGTACAGTAGTTATTTATTTATTTGATAAAATTAAAATTAAAATGGTTTAACGATGGACGGCGAACTGTTTACGTAGAATATAAACTGATACTATATACATCTAAAATCCTATTTTATTAATTATTTTTTATGAAATAAATATTTATCTTCTAAATTTTTAAGAGTAGATTTAAACCGATTAAAATAATTTTTTTTTTCAATTAAATCTTAAGTTTTTTCTTAATATCATTTGTGCTTATTATTTTAAAAGTAAATTTATAATGTGTAAATATCTTATTGTCTAATTACCTTTAAGATATATTTAAATTGAGAGTATACAAAAAATATATACTTATTCTTTCTTTTTTTTTAATGAAAAAATTTTAAAATTTGTATTCAATCCAAAAACTTTGATACATTTTCTGCTTCAGTTTTGTTTAACGAAAATATTAAAAACAGAGGTATCAATATGTCCTTTTACGGGCTTGAATGCTTTGATCTAAGGAGATCGTATGACGAACCACACAAAGACCGTCATCGTAATTGTGGTTTCTAATTGGTCTAAGACTCACCAACATCTTACGATGAGACATCGGGCTACCTGGCAAGAGTCAATAAATTGGTGAACCAATGAGAGATGTCTCCCATGATGCGGATTGAACTAAGCCGGTTCCGAACACGTCTTCACTTTTTGGATCGTTGTTCTACTAGAGCTTGCCTTTATAGTTTAGTTGGGAATCGATATCTTGTTTGCTCTGTTGTTCTGGTGACACATAGATAATCTCTACTTTTAATGTGACTACGCCTAAGTCAGTGTGAAGTTCTTTGCTCTCTCGGTCCAATTTAGCTCTGCCTTTATGTATTGTAGGATATTCTCTCTTGGTTTCGGATTCCAAGGCCAAAACGCAAGCTAGTTATCATCTCCAAGCTCCTCTTCCAAGCTGCATTGTACGATATATGGAAAGAACGGAATTTCTGGTTACACTCATCCAATTCCAAGTACTCAGATGCGAGGCTGGTATGGGAGAATAAATAAACTCTACGCAGCAAACTCACTAGGAACAAGGCCCTTTCCTCTCGCTATGGTTCGATCACTTTTCACCTCTCATATCTCTCGTGAGTATAAATGGCCTTTGCTCTTGCGTATGAACGTGTTTGTAAGAAGAATAATAACTAATTTCGGGATGTGTGATTGTTAGATGAAACTGTAGAATAATATATCAATGAATCCACTGGACAAAAAACATTTGATTGCGTTGAATAATATTTACACCCTGTTTGTTGTCAAATTGGACAAATATGTAAAACATTCCAACCCGAAAATGGAAATGAAGATCTTGATGGAGATGAAAATATGTGAATATAAGACATTGACTATGAATAATTTTTCATTTAACTGTCTAAAAATAGAAGTTACAACAAAAACATACATGCGCCAAAAAAAGTTTACAAAGAAGTATAACTGTATAGGTAACTCTCACTTAAACAACAGATTTAAACGTTAAACCCTTAACTTGCATGGGAACATGCATTTTATTCAAACTATAATATTTTGAAGAGAAAACTATGTGTACGTATGCATAGTTGATATCCTTCAAGCACATCGGAAACCAGGCGGAACATCCTTGTTACAAACATTGAGAAGAAGGCTGAGGGATATAGGAACGTTGAGGTTGATTCCGAGAACGTTAGCCCTAAGAGCAGTGCATAGACAAACAGCTGCCTCGAGGTTAACCAAACCCTGGATTACCGAGCAACATGGTTGAGCTGATGACTGACCCAACTGTATGTTGAGTAGACCGCTTAGGACGTTTGCACATACGCCGAGCCTGAGGGCATCTATAGGACAATTTCTGGATGAGCCAGGGGTGTTCGGGCTTGGGACCGAAGGACTTGGTACCGAAGGACTTGGTACCGAAGGGCTTGGGACGGAAGGAATTGGGACCGAAGGGCTTGGGATTGAAGGACTTGGTACCGAAGGGCTTGGGACCGAAGGGCTTGGGACGGAAGGAATTGGGACCGAAGGGCTTGGGATTGAAGGACTTGGTACGGAAGGGCTTGGTACCAGAGGGATTGGTACCGAAGGACTTGGGACGGTAGGATTGGGGAAGGAAGGACGAATCGGGACCCTACCTGGGACCGGCCTTTGTTTAGGAGTTGAGACAGGCTTCCTGTGCTTAGGACTTGGGGGGCAGCCACGATTAGTTGCATCTGTTAAGGTGAAAAAGAGGATGTTGAGGGCAAAGAAGAGCGCAAGATAAGCTGAGTTTTTTGCAGCCATTGTCTTTCAAAGGATAGGATCGGTCTCTTAAGGATTATTGAAGTGCTTGGTGAGGGAGGTAAAGATGAATGAGGAGAGTGCGTTTGTATTTATAGGGTTTAGAGAGACATGAGAGGAGGGCAAAATTGTATATATAGTTGGTGATTCAATCAAATCTTCTATATATTAAATGAGGAGACACTAAGTTGAAAATCCTATGTGTCACTCAATGAAGATATCAAGGAACATGTCATCTAAATTAACCAATAAAAACATTTTGAATTAATTCTAGATATTCTTATTAATTTTTAGCATAAACCCATTAATACATGTTTTGCAAATCTAAGTCCAACTAAATGTAATATTTAGACTTACCATATTATCTATTTTAAAAACTTCTTTTATACTGAGAAATTTTAAAAAATATTATTTATATTTTATAAAATTTTTGTTATTATATTTGTGACAATATGATTTATTGTTTATATATGTATTTAGATTAATATGATATATAAAATTTTAACACATTTCATTATGGAAAAATAAATATTGTTTTTCGTTTATTATGAACCAACAAATTCATATAAATCTAAAATTTAATTGATTTATCGCATACTCTATAATTTACACGAATATTAAAAATTAGTTTTACACTTAAAATATTTTGAAATAAATAAAATTTTCATATGTTCTGATCAATTGCACATAACAATATTAAAATTGATGGTATCAAAATATGCTTGATCAAAATTTAACTTGATTATACTTATGCACAATGCATATCATTCTGTAAGTTTATAAATACTAGAAATCATATAATTTGTTAGACATATTTACATATATAATAATAGATTAAAAATATATTAAATTATTTAATTCCACGCTGGGCGTGGTCAACATCTATCTGATATTATATAGTCAATGCCATAATAAGTTAATAACTACCTATACAAAGTTTGATTACAATACGACTTTTTGGGTAGAAATAGATAGAATCTCGAGTTATATGGGTTATGGGTAGAAATAATTGATTTGTGC